CCGGGCCCCCAAGTGCCGCCTCCGGGTGCCGCCCGTCCTCCGCCCGGCTCGGAGGGAGAAACGGGCCGGAGATTCCCTGGTAGACGCGTCCTGGCCGCCACCGCGCCGGCACACGGGTTCCCCGACACGGCCAGGCTTCCTCCCACCGCCAGAGCGCACGCCGGCAGCCGCCGCCGGGTCCTTGGAGACCGTTGGGAGCGGAAGACCCGCCGCCCACCGCAAAAGGGACAAGGCGGCCGCGGGGCCCGGCGCTTCCCTCCCGCCTCGCCGAAACTCACCGCGTGGCTGGGGCTGGCCGCCGCTCCAGCCGGGGCCGTCCAGGGAGTGCTGGCCGGGCGGCCATTCAGCGAGGAGGGCCGGCCTCGGCGCAGCCGGCCTGCAGACCGAAGGGCGGCCCGGCGCGGAAGGCGGGTCGGGCCGGGCCGGGCGTGACTCAGGCCTCAGGAATGCGCCGGAGAAGCGGCTCCCTCCGCCCGCCTCGCCTCCGCCCGGCGCCACCACGGGAAGAAAAGCGCCACGCTGGAGTTTGGCCGGCCGGGCGGCGGGAAGGGCCGCGGCTGCCGGCGGGCGAGTTTCTCCCTCACCTTCCCTGACTAGGACGCTGCCTGCTACCCTTCTGGCCTGGGCCTAAGCCGGGCCGCCCCCTCGGCGGCTCGGCTTAGGGGGCCGGGGCCCTTCTCGCCTGGCCGGCTAGACAGCTGCTGGCAGGGTGGGGGTGGGGCTGCTGATCCTTTAGGCCGAAGTCCCCCGGCCCTCTTCCCTCTCAGGCGGCGGCCCCGTCCTGCCCTGGAAGAGCTCTTGCCGCTGCGGGGATCCTGGGCGGCTTTGCTGGGGGCTGCTGACAGAAAGCCCTGAATCCCTCTTTGTAACCAGCGCTGGGTGGCCCTGCAGACAAGGCTTAGCCCTCCCCATTTTAGGCAAGCTGCCCCAGTAGTGTATTAACTATGAAGCAGACTAAGCCCGTGCTTAGGGCACCAGGCCCAAAGGGGGCACCACAAAGTTGAGAATATGGCTTCGTTTCTACAGTATGTACAAAGGGGGGGGGGGGCAAGATTTGTCAGTGTTTAGGGCACCAGTGGCCTTGGAGAGGAAGAAGGTTGCCAGCCCTCAGGCCCAGGGCTAGCTGAGCACCCAAGGAACCCATAGCACCCCCTTCTGCACCCCCCTCATATTGAGAAATGGCCAACTTAGGACACTCCTAAGAATAAGTGTTTCCTGCAGTTTGGCATCCTGCGAAGTCTGGAACTGAAAAACCAAATGAAGTCCTGCTTTCTTCTTGCTGGATTAGCTACACCACCCAAGATGCCTCGCCTTTCGCTGGCTTCCTAGCAGCATCCTTGGTCACTGCCCCTTGGAAGGCAGGCAGGGCTGAGCCTTCAACCTCCAAGGAGCTATAAACTCAGGTGCAGCCTCTCCCCCGGCACCACAGCACAAGGCCACGGCTCTTCTTGAGTGTGGTGAAATGCAATCAGGATTCCTGTAGTTCCTGCAGGAGATTTCCTGCTAGTGAAAAGAACTGTCCAGGTTCCCTTCTGCAAGACAAGTAATCTGAGCCACACTGTTCTGCATCAGCGGCCTTTGAGCACCACCTCTGCCTTGGATGTACAATGTGGGCTTTGCACCAGCTACAGGTGGCAATTGCAGTTAGGCCACATCTGATGTGTTTTCATTTTAAAGATTTCTGACAATCCATCCTGTTATTTGCATCCTTAAGGTTTGCCTCTACTTCTGACTATTGGTTGATATTTGATCAATTCATTTTGCAACTCCAGCCTGGCTGTAAATTGTAAATGCCTGAATATCTCCCAATAGTTCCAGAATGCTTCTAGAGACAAAAGAAGCAATGGGTAACTATCCATGGTAAAACCACATCCGGCCCCCTTCCTCCCCGCTCCCCCTTTGAGAATAGCAGGGCTGAAGGGACCAGTGCCTGCTGGGAATTCCTTGGCAGCCAGCAAGGCTAGCCATGAGATGGCATCCTGTACTATTTCCTGCAGCAGGAGACATGGAACCTGGCGGGTTCCCTGGCAGAAGACATAGGGTCATTTTTAGACAATATCAATAACATCAAGCAGTTTCTTGCACCAATGGCAGAGGTTGAGCCTCGTGGAGCAGGTCTGTCCCACACTGCTTCAGGGATGGGCCCATCTGTGCAGCAAGCCCAGCCCGTCAGGCTTTTGGGCTACTACTTCCTCTGCAGCTGCTGCTGGCTAAAAGCGAACATCCTTAATACTGAGTGGGCGCAGTGCTTGGGTCTGCAAAGGGAAACATTCCTGCAACTGTCATGTTAAATGCTGCGATACAATTCATCCGATGTACAAATCGTAACCACTGTGCCTCCTTCTGGATTAAGAAAGCAGAAGGCATCAAGCTGAGGCTCGTTGTCCAAGGATGATAAGAAAGTCCAGGGACAGAGCGCAGTTTTTGGGCCATGGAGTAGCTTAACCTGGGTAGGAAGAGTTCCCCACCCCCAGATGTTCAAATATGGCTAGGATCTAACGGGAGTTATATTTAGCCCCCTTCCATGTCTTCCAACTTAACTGTCAGCCTCGGCAACAGCTGCTACTTTTCACCGCTTTGAAAGCAGGCAGGCAGGCAGGCTCTCAGATGCTGCTGCCTTTCCAAGTTTACTTCAGCTATTTCTGAGACATTGGGTGGCTGGGTTCCCTTCTTCCTTTACAGCAGCCTGGAAGAAAAAAACAGGTTTTGTACCTTCCCGCCATCCAATTTGCACAGATGACCATTGTAAATGAACAGGCTGGGGGGTGGGGGTGAGGGAGGCAAGGGGCCCCAGAAGAGCTGCTTGGTGCAGCCCAAGCATGCCTGCTCCTAGCAAAGCTGTCCTAAGGTCAAACCCAGAGCAGCTGCTGCACTGCTGCACTGCCATAGAAAGTGAGGGGACACTTGCTTGACTAAGTGGGGTGGGCTTGTGCTGGCAGCTGCTGGGGCGATTTTGCCTTGGGTGGGGGGTTATTTGAAGTTGGCAGATAAAGCTGTGGTTCCAGGTGGGAAGTAGGAAGATTCCACTCAGGACAACATCGCACTGCCCAGAGAGCATCCTCATCCAGCTGCTGGAAACAACTGTTTTCCAAAGAAGGAGAAAGGGGCCCGTGACATTTGTCCAGCCTGAACCAGGACCTTCCTCACTGCTGTGTCCATTTTCTGAGCTGACCCAGCCTGCTTATCTAGGGTACAGCAGCTGCAACTGGATTCTCCGGACAGATGAGGCTGAGGTGGGTTGTGGGAGTGTGGGTATTTGGACCCCATGTTGGTTCAGAAGACCGGGTGACTCCGGCTTTTTAGCTAACTGCCAGGATGGCTGCTTTTGATGGAAGTGGGGCAAGAGCCCCTCCAGCTCTTAGCCTTTTACGGAAGGCTCTTGTCGAGTAAAGGGCCTTCGTGACCAGGAGGCCAAGAAACTCCACGGACGTTGATCCTTCCTTGTATAGGTTTAGGCAGAGATCGGGCAGCCCCGCCCTCCTCGGGCTTCCCTCCGCTCTTTCGAAAAAGTCTCCGGACGCATCCAAGGAAGTGGCGGGACGGGGTGCCTCTGGATGCCGCACTCCGGGTGAGTCCTTCCGCCGTTCCCCGGCTGTCTCACTCTATGCTCAGCCAGCCGCTGGTCCAGCCCCGGTTTGCGCGAGGGTCTTCCTGGGAAGAGCGCAAAGCCATCGCCCGGGGACCGCAAGAGGCCGGAGCCGGAACTGTTGCCGGGCGAAGGTCGAGCCGAGAGCGGCTTGCTCGGCTACGGGAAGGCGGAGGAGCTCCCGGGGTTTTTGTGGCGCTCCGCCTCGCCGCTGAGCTCGGCTTCCCCTTTTTGCAGGCCGGACGCCTCCCAGCCAGCAGCCATGCCCGACGCGCCGAGGCCGCTTCCTGCCGAGGCGGCGCGGAAACCCGGCAGCGGCTCGCCTGACCGCCTGGGCGCCGCCTACTTCGACCAGCCCTGCATCCGTCTGGCCAAAGCCCTGCTCGGACAGGTGAGCTCGTCGGCCGGGGGTGGAGGAACGAAGGGCAGTTGCAAGGTGGGCCTTAGACGGCCCGTCCTCCCTGGTCAGCTCCTCTGCAGGAAGCGGGCCGTCCCAGTCGCTCTCCCGCCTGGTCGAAAGATGTCATGCGGGCCCTCGCAGCCGGGGCGGCGCACGGGGGCCGGAGAGCCCGTTGACTCCCGGCAGTCTCGCCTTGTTTCAGATTCTGGTTCGGAAACTGCCCGACGGACGGGAGCTGCGGGGACGGATCGTTGAAACAGAAGCCTATTTGGGAGGGGAGGACACCGCTTCGCACTCCAGGGGGGGTCGACGAACCGCAAGGAACACAGCCATGTTCATGCGACCAGGCACGCTGTACGTGTACCAGATCTACGGGATCTACTTCTGCATGAATGTCTCCAGCCAAGGTAAGTAGGCCTCCAGCCCCCCCTTCCCACTTTTGGATCAGGGTGAATCCCGGGGATGCCCAGCTTCCCTGGAGGCTTCTCATTCTCGGGGGGGGGGGGGGGGGATTTCTGCCCTTTGAGCCACTCCCACCCTCCAGTCTGCGTTGCCTTTGAACCACTCAGAGCAGTTCTGCCCACCTCCTGCACAGGTGAAGGTGCTGCAGTCCTCCTGCGCTCCCTGGAGCCCCTGCAGGGGCTGGAGGCCATGCGAGAGCTGCGCCTGACCCGGCAGCAGAAAGCTCCTGCACGCCCTCTCAAGGACTGGCAGCTGTGCAATGGGCCCTCCAAACTCTGCCAGGCCCTGGCCATTGATCGGAGGTTTGACCAGCAGGACCTGGGCTGCAACTCTTCCGTATGGCTGGAGCCTGGCCTGGAAGCCTCCAGAGACCAAGTCCCCGTCTGCGCCCCCCGGGTTGGCATCAGTGGGGAGTGGGCCCAGAAGCCTTTGCGCTTCTACCTCCATGGCAACAAGTGTGTGAGTGTCACTGACAAAAATGCTGAGGGGAAACTGGCACATGGCGCCCTCAGAGAGAAATGTGTTTAGCTTGCAACATGAAGCGGGCATGAATACTGATGCCAATAGATTTATTTATGTAAATAAACATGTTTTGTTCTCTTCCAATGACTGGGGTCAATGGAGCCAAATGCACAATGTACCACATTCAGCAAGAAAGTGCACGCCCCAGGCCCACTTTGCTAGAATAACCCCTTCCTCTTTATTCTGAAGTGCCACCGCCTCGCCCCGGGACAATCCCAGGGCAATTGATTTGAGCTGGCAGTGCCAGAACAGTAGGACTTGAGCAGGCACGCCAATCAATGCTTTGGAGTTGTTGTCGGAGGCAGGATGGGTGGGCTATGAACCCACTGCTTCATGTGAGCATTCAACCTGCGGCAGAAGGGAAGTCATGGGCACTCTTTCACCAAAGGGGCTTATCCCTGGATCCCCATACTCTTCCTGCTTTTCAAAGTCAAAGACCAGCTTGTTTTCCTGCTCCACAGTTTGGGGTGGGAAGCCCTCACGGCTGCTCTGCCGAGTCCTCCTTCCCTCCAAAGAAGGGGACAGAGCACAAAACTGCCAGACTGCAACCCCTGGAAGAGCGCTCCTGTGATGTCCAGCAGGAGGGGCTTCCTTGGATCCGGGAGCAGCATCTAGCCTCGACTGGGCTCCTTCCTGGCCTCAAGAAAGCCTCCTCTCCTCACTTATGGAGGGACTGAAAGACAGAGATGACGGGATCCTCGTGGTTCGTCACCACCAGCACGCTACGGAACTTGTCAAAGAGCATGAGCAGATGGGAGCGCCGCATGTTTTCATTGTACATGATCTCCTCCAGGTGATGCCGTCCACGGAAATAGTGCAGCAGCCTGCAAAGCGGGGGGGGGGGAGAGGTATGTTTCTGCCCTGCAGCCACAGCCCAAAGCCTGAGATGCTTGCTCCCCAAGTCCCCACCCAGGAGGGGCGAGCTTGGCCCTGCTGTCCAAGCATCAAGCTTCCTCCCGGGGCTTTGTGAAGACTGTACAGTCTAGGCCGGTGGCCCCAAAGAGGAGGACTTTCACTCCACGGCTACCTGGCAAACATGCGCAGATCATCTGGATTGTGAGCTGCGGGGACACTGAGAATGGCTTCCCGCTCATGCTCTGAGAGGCTGGTCAGGAGGTTCTCCGTCATGCGTTTGTTCACGGGAGACTCGCCCCCAGGCAACAGCTCCGCACTGGAGTTGTCCATGCTGGGGCTTGTCAGGGTCATGTCATCACTGCTAGCTGTGAACAAACAAGAAGGCACTGTGAGGGACAAGAGGAGATGGGGCCCCATGATGACAGCTGCCACCTTTTCCTTTCCTGCTGTTCCTAGACAGATGCAACAGTGGGGCTGAAGGGCAAGACAGCTTTCAAAAAATTGTTGACAAAGTCCTCCTCCACTAGCAATGGCCCTTAGACTTATATACCCCTTCGTAGTGCTTTACAGCCTTCTCTTGCAGAGTCAGCCTATTGACCCCAACAATCTGGGACCTCATTTTTTGCCAGGCAGGGTCAAACTCCTGGCAATCAGCAGAGTCAGCTGCGATGCTGCATTCTAACCACTATGCCACCATGGCTCTTCAGAGCCTGAAAAAAATTATTCCAATCCCTCCCTCCCTCCCTCCCACACACACAATTCTATCATGCTGCCCTTTAGGAATAAGCAGAAAAGTATCATGATATGAACTGACTTGAATATTGGACACTAGACATCCATTAGGCATGAAACAGGTCTGGGTGATTTGGGGCCACTCCCCCTCTCTCAGTGCAACCTCCACAGGGTTGTTGTGGGGAAAATAGGAGTATGACATAAGTTCACTGCCGTGGTCTCTTCTTTCTCTTTCATCCATCCATTTATCTTACCTATCTTCCCCTTCCTCTCTGTAGAGGATTTGAAACCCGGGAGCCAAGCACTGTTCCCCTGGCTGGGCTGAGCTCTGGGCAAAAGAGGGCTGCCACTTACTGGGAGAACCAAAACTGAGTGCGCTAGGAGTGCTGAGGCTTCGGCCCCCAACTCGGGCAGGAAAGGGCAGCTCTTCTACTCTGGTGCGAAAACCCTCCTCCTCCTCCTCTTCCTCCTCCTCTTCCTCCTCCTCCTCCTCCTCCTCCTCTTCCTTTGGGGGAACCATCAGGCAGGCGTAGCTGTGCAGCTGAATGAGAAGCCGATGCTGGAGCATCCAGGCCACCATCCGAATGAGATGTGTCTGGGAGAGAAGGAGAGGCCGTCAGAGCGGCCTAAGATCTTGGCCGTTAAAGCACCTCGACCACCCTGTGGGTTGAGACATTGGGCGGGGGAGGTTGAGGAGCTAGAACTTGCCTCCTGAATCACTGGAGCAAGAGGGTCCTTGAGCTCAGACAGAGAAACTGGCCAGGAGAACTTTGACAGAACTGCGGGCAGGTCGTGGCCTGGAAACTGAGAGGAGAACTCCTCTGCTAAAGGGGAGTAACTGCAGAAGGGAAGGGAAAGGGGTTGAGTGGGCTGCCCTCCTCCCTTGCTCCTGCCTGGCCTCTGGGTGCCGCGAGTCAACCTAATCAGCACCTGTGAAGCCTAGGAGACAGGAGCCGACACACAAAGCCATCCCTTCAGCAGAAAGAACCAGCTGAGCAACTCACAGGCAGACACTGGCGTTGGGGGACAGCATGTAGACGTTGTTCTCACACAGGGGATAGACCATGAGGGCCTTGCCCCAGTAGACAAGATGTGCAGCCAGCTGAAACACCTGCCACAAAAGAGAAAGCACCTGTTGGGGCAATTCAGCAGCACCTACAGGTAGGACAGGCTGGGCTGGATCAATGTGGCAATGAGTTCCGGCTCCAAGGAGAAGAGTTACTCTCTCTTCTGCTTATGCAGATCACATTAAGAAAACACAGCCTGGCAGCCAGAGGAGAAAGCTCCCGTTCCCCTGCTGTGGGTTGAGACCAGGGGTGCAGCTTTCATTTCTTAAGAGGGCCCCCAAATCCCAGCTGCCAGGAAGCAGCGGGAGGAGAGATTCATTGCCGTCAAGCTCAGCCTGTGGGCACAATAAGCAAGGGAGGTGATCCACACAGATCCCACAGGGCCTGATCCAGTGGCTGGCTGCTCTGGTCCTCTTAGAAGTAGGCAGAAGGATGTGCTGCACCTAATACAAAGGTGGGCTTTAATGCCTCAGTTGTTGTAGTGGAAAAGATCTTCCCGCCCTCACAACATTTTCCTTTCCCTGGGAATTCTCACTGCCTGTTTGGGGGTCAACTCGGACCCTATGTTTTGGAAGAGGAGGTCCACCTGTGGTTTATGATGTAGCAGATGTATCAAAAGGCTTTGGGGTCCCCTCTGAGCTCACCTGGAGCAAGGCCAGGTCGGCATCCTGAGCCAGCTGCTGAAGGTTCTTCACCACAGAGGCGGTTTTGATCACTCGCACCAGGGCAGGGGAGCAATCGAGGGGCAGTTCGCTGAGGAGGGACTTCTCATCTTTAAGCAGCAATAAGGCATGGTAAGGCCTGCAGAGACAGCAAAACAGGTGCGGGGTGGGGGTGGGGGGTTAAGATAACCTACAATGGCTGGGGAAAATCTCCTCGATTAATTTGTACAATTTCTCTATTTCACAAGACTTAAGAGAGGTGCAAGAACCTCTGTGTAGCAGAAGTGGTGACCGATTCATCAAAAAACAGAGCAGCTGAATGTGTAATGTGAAAAAGTGATTTTCATAGGATTTATGAAAAAATCAACACCTTCAGGGGTAAGATGGGTGGCCTATAAATTTTATAAATAAATAGATATACAAATGAATAAATAACAAACTCAATTTTCCAGGTGAACTAGAATGAGACTCTCCCTTAAACCACACAAGTTGAACATCATACCATCAAATCTTGTTTGGCAGAAATCCTGAGTCTGAATTTGGTGAATGAGTAGCTGAGAAGCTAAATGTTGGTAGACGAAGTAACAAGACCTTGTGGTTCAGACTGAGCATGTTAGATGCATGAAGTGAAAACATTTGGAGCACCGCCATAAGTCACAGAATGGGGATGATGCCTGCACAATTAAGTAGCTGGTAATCGAAGAACAAAATGCTTTCTAAAGATTTATCTTGGGGCTTGCAAACCATGGGATCATGGAACAAAATGGGTCGAGGAGGCCATGAATTCTCAGGTCCTGCTTCCAACTATTCATCTTTTAAAACTTTGGACATTCTCGCCCACAGTCACCAAAAAATTTCAGAGACACATTTTCAGCTCTCAAGCAGGCTTAGCCACATCTACATCCCAAGAGGCCTGACTGTGGTGAGAAAAGATTCTAAACCAAGTTGCATTCAGAAAGACCAAAATAAAATAATAAATGTATTAGCAATAAAGTCCTGTCTCACCGAATAGCCTTCAAGCTTCTTTCAATGGCTTCTGGGGGGATGAAACTGGATGCCACATCATGGATTTTATGAGGCAGGCAGAAACTCACTTCCAGCCAGTTATTGATCTGTAGTTGGACCAACCCTGTTGTGCACAGACTGAAAGGAAAGAAAGAAGCACCAGGAGGTTCAGGGATCAGCCTTTTTGCACAGAAGCCTCCAGGCAGCCTGAGCGAAATGTTCTCAAAGGTCCCCTCCACCCACCCTTCCCCTTATTTGACTCAATTAAAATACAGTATTCCCTTTTACATAGACACAGGCATCGCCACTTGCTGGCCACCAACAAGCTGTGCAAGTCAAGTCATGCTAGCCCTGCTCAGCCCAGAGGAAGGCTGCTGCCCACCAGGTGGAGCTGAGCAGCTGTCTCAGAGGGGCATCTGGCTGACTTCCCCAGGAAGGCTTTGTCTTTGCCTCCTGTGCTCTGCTGCTGGGCATCAGAAGAGAAGGAAAGCGACAAGCAGGAAGAGCAGGACCAGCCTCAAACCAGCCCAGGGAGGGGAACTAAGGCTCACAAGGCCCACATCATGGGGAGGTGAGGGCATGAGATGGAGGGGCCTCCAGAGAGCTTACAAAGGCTCCAAGGGAAGAGAGAGCCTGGCCAGCTTTATGCAGGCTTCCCCCTCCTCAAGGAAGCAGTGCATGGACAAGCAGAGAAGCGAGAAGGGACTTTCAGGTTCTAGACCGGATGGTGATGGTTTTGATGGTGATGGTGATGAAGGAAAGCAGCCAGATAATGCTTGATATTATGAGGAGATGAGTTACTCTCTATCTACTTTAATCTCCCAATCCTAAACTGAGGGGTAGTGTTTCACATAAACCTTGGGGAATAAAAGATAAGGGGGAGCCAGCTAAACACCCAATACCCTGAAGGTTTCATTCCAATTACCTTGTGTTTTTTTGGGGGGGGAGGGGGCAGCTACAGAATCGGACTCTGCACCTCCATAATTGTCTTGCAATGAGTTTCCCCCCTGGGCTCCCCAATTTTGGGATGAGGCTGTCCTCTCCTACTGAAGGGCACCATGACAAGGCCTGTGGCTCTGTAAGGAAGCAGCCGGTAAGAACTGCTGATGGGGGAGTGGGGGTGGCAAGGATATTATTACCTGTCATAAGCTTCTTTAAGGTCTCTGGCCAGCTTGCACTTGGGAAGGATGTGAGGGAAAGGTGACTGAGGGCCATCCCTTGCTGTGGAGGGAAAAAAATCATTTTGGAGCCCCAACCTCAGGCCCCTGCCCTCTTCCCAACCATTCATTCTTGGGACATACCTGACGCTGGGTTTTATTATTCATCTAATTAATTAATCAAATGTGTATAGCTGCCCATCTCACAAAGACTGAAACTTGCTTCTTTGTGTCATCCAACTGCTGGCTGCACAGCAAACAGCAGCCGGTCCAGCCTGGGCCTTTGAGGGGGTCAAGTCAGGGGGGATAAAACAGCCTTCCTTGGACAGTGGCTCTCAACTCAGGGGTCCAGGCTGGCAACAGTCCCCTGCAGGAGCCACGTCCTGGAAAGCGGCCTCCCAAGTGGATGAGACCATAAACTGCTTGCAGCTTACTTTCTGACATGGCTGAAACTTCATCTTGAATGGCCAGAATGAGTTTGGCCTCCCTGGTGAGATACTGGCAGCGTCTCTCTTCATGCTGAAGCACAATGGCGATGCGCCGGGAGAGGTTATGCAGGCAGCTGATCACGGAGGGGTCCGCAGTGGCCTGCAGACAGAAGTAGAAACTGTCCATCAAGGGTGGCCTGGCAAGCCAGATGACCTGGAAGGAGGAGGAGGAGGAGGAGGAACCCACCTGGGGCCAACCCAGCCATTCTCTCCCCTCCGGCCATCCAGCAGAAGGCCGTCTCCCATTGAAAGCATCAGGGTAATAAGAGCTGCTACCACAAAATATGTGAACCAGTGGTAGCATCCCTTCAGCTACTCTTATTTGGACAAAACATCTCAGTCACTCACACACATACACACCAGCATCTCCTTCTGACCTTCCCCTGACCCCAAACAGTTACTTCCCATTGAGAGATGTCCTAATGTGAGGACAGAGGGGCAGGCTCATTGCCCTGGAACAGACCTTCCTCCAACCCTCAGTCTGAGCCTTGCGGAGCCTTTGGCTAGAATAGATTCCATGAGAACCTAATGAAGCACCAACCCTGGAATTTCTCCGTCACATCATGCACAAGTGACCATCTTGCATAGCCCAGAGAGGCTGCTTAATCCACTCTGAACCAGGGAGAAGGCAGGAATCCAGCTGTTATCAGCCACACCCAGCTGAACAAGTGAGGCTCAGACACTTAGTAGCCAAAGTGGACAAACCAGCTGTTCAAGGCCTGTTAAAGAAATGGAATGCAGGGCAGTGATAACGTGTGCCACCCAAAGTCATAAACTATGACTCGGCACTACAAAACGAGCCACATTTCTGCTGAGTCATAGGATGGGGCTAAACTTCAAGTTTCACTGCAACTGCCTCCCTGTTGATAACACCTTGGGCCTTTGCCTGTCCAGCTGCCACTATTAGATGGGCCCCACCCCGGAGCTGGAGTGCTACGCAGAGATGCAGAGCCATAAGTCCCGAGAGAAGTCCAGGCCAGCCGAGGTGGGGGAGAGTGCTGCTTTTGCCAATAAAGGCCAAAGAAATGACCAGGAAGACCTGACCCAAGCGAGGGCTCTACAGCTGGTTGTCTCACAGCACCGTTAGGTAGTATTACTTCTGAGGCAGTCTTACCCTTAAAGCAAAGACCACGTTGAAGAGAATCATGGTGGGCATTTCCCTCTTGGGAGAAGGATCTGTCTTTGATACCTGCACAGCAAAAGAGGACACTTAGGAAGTGTAAAAGCAAGTAGGTCCAGGAAGGGTGGTTGGGTGCGGTGGTGCATAAAAGGCAGATCTGTTCTTGGTATATTGAGATCTGGGGAAAGAGTTCCCTCTCTTGGCCTCAGTGAGGCCATCTGGCCTGGAGGTCATGTTTTTAAGAAGATCAGGCATAAACTAGAGCATATCCAGGTTGAGACCAAAGTGAGGAAGTCTCAGAAAAAGAAGTTCTGCAAAGGGCAGGAGCTGAAGTCGTCCAATGGCTGAAGGAGGCTACACAGAATACACACCAAACCTTGGATTAAACAAATAACAGAGCTGTGTGGCACTGAAACGGACTGTCTTGGGGAGGCAGCAGAGTGGTTCTATTTAGGTAGAGACTGGGGCAGGGGCTTAGGTGGGGGAATAATCCTCCAGCCATGGCGTTCCTCAATCAGTAGGGCTCCACATGGCTTACAGACTCACACAGCACACCCCAAATGTGTCCGCCTTTCCAGTTTCCAATGAATAAACACAGGTTAACGAGGGGGGTGGGGGAGGGCAGCTGTCTCCCAGGGTGCTGTGTCCACCTTCACCAGCAACTCTGGAATGAATGGCAGGGCAGCTCTTGTCCCTCCAGAAATATGTTCAAGAGAAGACAAGAGGAACCTCCACAGAGGTACAGTCCTGAGAACTTAGATCAGGAACATGGGAAATAGTATTTCAAATTAGTCACCCCATTAACCTATGGGGAATCCAAATTTTCTAAACTGAAGGAAAAATGAGTAATATAGCAAAGCAATAGGAATTGCTGCCTCTTGTAGGAATTACATGACACGATGGAGCAAAAAAGCCCCAAGTGGCCTGTCAGGAGGAAGGCCTCCGCAAAATGCCTGGTTAATGGGTTAACCCCGTTCCCTGGATTCACACAGCACATTAAACAATGAACTAGCCAAACAGAATAAACCACAGAGAACCTATTAAAATATTTGCAATTGCATCTGCTAAATCTACTGATCTAGTTAAGCCTGCTGTGTGAACACCAACCATGTTTAAAGATACAATTGCCATTCCCAGGGGAGATTCAAAAGTCAAGTAGCTGGTGCCGGTTAAAACTTGGCCCAATCAATCAATTTTTATACAGCACATACTTCCAATATTGAATCTTGTTTTACAATGGAAGGGGAAAATCTTCACAGGGAAGACTGGCCACAAAAAGAGCTGAAATGGACTCTTACTAGTATCAACTTTATTGAGGAATATGGGAAGCAGAGTTGGGTTTGAGACCCTAGCCACTGGATTCTGCAGGTTGTTCCAAGCTGAGAAAGGGGCAAGAGTAGAAATTTAGCAATATGAAAGGAGCCTCTAAGTTTCAGCTGTTGCAAAGGTGTTCTGGATCTGCGACATACCTGGCCAAAGGCATGCTGCAACAGAGTTGGGTGCCCAACAAAACGAATGTTATCGATCTTCAGCTCAAACTTTTTGCCACACATGTCTGATTTAGTAGCCAGAATTGTTGCCAGAATGACATCCGAAAACCTTCAAAGCAGAAGAATAAGAGAAACAGGTATGACTGTATTTATGGCGACCTAAAGACATCCCAAAGCCAGGTACCATTTGTATTCAACATTAAATATTATTCTGCAAGCATTCTAAATAAATAACACTAGGACCCATTTGAATGCCATTAATTTGTCCAAATTTTATATTTAGAATCATCAGAATTACTGAAAGGAAAGCATCACAGCCAACAATGAGACAGTCATGCCACTCTCAGACAGAAGTGGAGAGGTTAGAGAGGGTCGCTTCTGTTGCAGGGTCCAAGCAGAGCAGTTGCAGCAGCTGAAGCAGATTCCCAAGTACAGGCTGCTCCTGAGCTGGGTTATAAAGGCTCCCAAAGTCAAGGAATACCTGCTCAGAGCATCAAAAATGTTTTCCTCCCCTATTCCCATCCTCTGTTTGCTACATAAGCTGCTATCATGTAACCTCTTGTCTCTGCATGATCTAAAGTTTTCCTGCTCTGTGGGGAAAGATGTGGCCTCTTTCAAAGTGCCAGTGCCCCAGAGGACCCAGCTGGAGGCCTGCAGGCTGGCCAGCATCACCTGCAACACCACGAGGCTCAGCTTGTTTGAGCCTGGAAGGACTGGTGAGGATGGAAGTTCAGCCCTCTGGGCAGAAATACATCTTCTAGCTCTGAACTTGCTTCTTTCTACGTTTTCACATTCAGACTTTTAGTCTCAACTCCCTCTCCCCCCACTCCACTGCTGGTCAGGGGCAGTTGCCATACAAAGGCTTCTCCGTGGTAGACTGCAGCGTTCTGCTATGAGGCCTGCGGCCAGGAGAGTTATGAGCTTATCAGCCCTCCCAGGAGGCGGCGGCGGCAGCAGCAGAGGCAGAATAGTGGCTTTGCAATCTTTCTCACCAGAGACCTAGCAACGGAAGTTTGAACTCTTATTTGGATTAAGACCAAAAATAATTCTAAAAGATGTTCTCCTCAAGACAGAATGGAAATCCCAGTGGTTCTGTATTTGGAAAAAAATGGAATGAAAAAATCAAATTCTTGAAACTGTTCATATTCAGTCTGTGGAAATCTCTCCCTTTGCTCTTTTCTAGCAATGGAAAATTCCAAAATTTGGTTCTTAAAAAAGTGGAACTTCCTGATAAGTATCCTCATCTCCCTATCTTCTCATGATGGTTACACTCTGGCTAAGCATTTGATTTTAGCCAAGCACCCTGGGTGAACTTAAGCAGCTGTGAGCCTTTCTTTGGAAGACCAGCTTCCCAGAGGCAATTTTGTGGAGCTCATTGGTTTGTTAAGGGCCTCTGGGATATTGCTCAAAAGTCCTGGTTTTGACAGCGTTTGGAGACCCTTGTTTCAATAATGCTGCCACCTACCTCTGTGTTCAATAGAAGAACACATTTCTTACGCAAATAAATGTTCTGGGGTAAATAACAGCCTTGTCTCACCTTTTAGCAGCTTCTACTTCCCCAATTAAAGAGAACTCCTATGAATCCTTCAGGAGTCCCCACCTCTCTCTGAAAGAAAGGGGTTGCAAAAGAGATTCAAAGACCTTTAGCTGCCCTTCTGCCTTTGGGGCAGGCCATTTTCCTCAGCTTTTCCTTTTAACCCACTTTTTCTGGCTGCAACTTAAGTGACGCTGAGTCTTAGGAAAAGATTTAGACCAGTACAGAACCACACAACTAGGACAAATCCATCGGGGATGGACGCCTGACAAACAATTTTGTTTCCTGCCTAAGCAGGGGGTTGCACAGAAGAGTTCCAAGTCCCTCCCAACTCTGCTATTCTATTCCTATTCCTATTCTTATTCTATTGCAATCCTCCTCATTCTAGTGTTACACTGACTAGAAATTCTAAAGCCTGTAATATAATATGGTTAAGGGAGAGCAAATTGGAAAAGAACATAACAGCTCGAATGTGGAGTGGCCTCAATATTCTATCATTCAAAGTATTATTACTCTACATCCTAAAAACTAGAGAGGAACCAGCTGTTAAATGCTGCATCCAAATGCCTTCACAGACAAAAATGACGCATTACTTATATGAGTTGATTGCAAAGTGCAGAATGGTGCACCAGTCTTAGGTTTGACCTCATACACTCCAATCAACTGAGTCAGCTTCTGGGTCCACCTTGTCTCCACTGAGACTGACAGGCAACCAGAGAGGAAACCCAAAGCCGTTCTGCATGCAAAACACACACTGCCACAATGCTGCACTTCTCTTTCTAGACTGGCTCCTCCTTTAAATTTCTTACAAGTTTATCCATCTCATCTGCACTCCACTATCGTTCCATTCGTTTACAGCATAGTCCAAGACAGAAATTAGAAATACAATACAAGAAGAAGATGGTAAAAAAGAAAAGCCATTGGAGACAGATGAATTTGGTCTTACCCTGATACCACCTGCTCATCAGTGAGAGGACAGGGCTCTCTGAAAATAGGAACAGGGGCCATAAGCACCACTCAGAAACAAAACTGGAGAATCAACCAGACAAAAATCACACAAGGCACACTATTCGCACACTTATAAAATGGGACAATGGAATCCTGCCAGTTTTCACGGTTACGAGTAAATGTTTCTAAAGTAAAATGAAAACAATGAAACTAATGTACACCACACCACCACCACCCGTGTAAATGGATGGCATAAGTGGGAAGGAAGAAAAAGACTTGCAATGGCTGCTCATAGTGCAGCAGGTACCATGAGCTTCCCCCAAAGAGACAGCAGAATAAGCACTGGGCAGGCAGGACAGAGCTTGCAGGAATGTCTCAGGGCTGCTGGAATAAGAAAACTGGGCTCCAGGGACCACAGCAGGCCCTTCCTTCATGGCTGATGTTACTGTGCAAACCATTCAGCTGCTTCCAGCCATTTTTTCCCCTATTCCTGAATTCTGCTACAGCAGAAGAAACCTGTACATTGTACTACATGAAAACCATTAAATTATAGCTGGCCACCTCCTCAACAATTCTAGACAATAGAGAAGGCAGTTCAGGACCAGAGTGGGCCCTGAAACTGTTGTTATAATCACAAACATACCCCAGATGCTTTGGTTCATATCAGCTAGCTAAGAACCAAGAGGGGGATGGGTCCAGCTTCACGCAGTTGTGAAAATTCCCCAGCTTCAATTCCAGAGGCTGAATAATAAGCCAGGGAAAGTCAGTGTCTCTTGGCAAATGGGAATCCTGGAGCTTTTTCCCCACTTGTCAGACCTACCAGCAGGGAAGAGTTGCCTCCTCCCATTGCTAACACCAGAGGAGCAAAAAACTTAAAGATCATTCACTGGGATAATTGTGATCATTAAAGAGTACAAGAGTTGGATATAATATTTTTATGTTTTCCTCAAAACCATGACATTCAAAAACCCCTTCACAAAAAGAATTGAGCTCAACTTTGCCAACCAACATGCCCGCAAGAAGGAGATCTGCAAAACAGAACCAAGGAAATACATACCTGGAATCTCCATCTGGATCTTCTACATTCTCACCAATACTGTTTACTGCATACTTACTCCTTGACATCCCTAAAAAAGATGGAGGGGGGGGGGGACTTCAAGCCTGGAGACATTATTCACTGTCCCATTCACACAGCACATTTTGCATGGTGATGGGGAGGCAGCATATTTTATGGGAATCCTATTATCTTCCTCAGACAATTAACCCAGAGGCATGCTTTGGATAATCTGTCTCAGTCAGCACGTCACTTGGATCAAGCCTACCAACTGCCCTTTCAAAACTGAGCTGAAATAGTAGGCCATGCAAAAATCAGACTCTGGAGGAACAAAACTAGCACAAAGGGTAGATGAGGAAGTCCTCCCCAACTCTCTTCATGGTGTTACTGACTCCAGATAGACTGCCACACATATTTTTAAATTCCCTTTTCCTCACTCTGTAAGGAAAGTATTCCAGGGGAATAATAGTCTGCCAGTCTCCTTAGCAGCAGTGTCATATGGTGCCAGCAGATTTAACCAGAACACTTAGGTGGTACAGATACGTCATGATATACAAAGATTGGTTTTCCACATTAAGCACAAAAGGTGCATTCTAGGGATCAGTTAAGCTCATCCTTCCTACTTTTTTCAGTCGCAGACCATGGTTACTTTCCCATCTTTCGTTAACAAGTCATCTGACATTTAGGAAGTTTCCCCCGCAGCAAGTCACAGGAACTGGCATGTAAAAGAACTGACTGATCACGAACAGGCCACGGACTGATCACGAACAGGGGCACGAGACCATGTTGAGGCCTTTGCTCCGGACTACCTACACCTGCCCAGAAAAGCAGCCAGGAAAACCTCCGATCTTGAAAGCCCTGAACAGGTGATGTCCCCAGGCGAACCTCTCACGGATGAAGCACTGAGTTCAACCGTGAAATCAACGGAAACCAGGGCCAAACGTGAACGGGGCCGCTTCCCTATCTTCGGTGAGGAGGCAGAGCTGCAGGCGACGCCCAGGTGGGAAAGGCGACGCCCAGCCCACCTGAACAGGTGGGAGGTCAACTGGGCCAGCTGCCCGGGAAAAGGCAACGCCAGGCCACGAGATCTCCAGGGGGCCCCGGGGAGAACCGCCGGGTCATCCGAGCGGCCGGAGCACAGCGGGACCGCCCGGCGGCGAAAGGGCGAGGTCGCCGGGTCACCATAGCAACGGGGGCGGCCAGGCCTTCCGGGGCGGGGCGTCTCCCGCCCACCGCGCGCTCGCCAGTTCCTCACCGATCAAGGCGGCCGGGTTGCCGGGCCCCCGCTGGAAGGGGAAGCGGAAGAGCAGCTTGTTGCCTCGGCTGCCGGAGCTCACCAGGATCACGCTGACGGGGCTCGAGGTGTCCCCCATGCCGCTGCCGCTCTCGCCCGCGCAACCGCGTCACCACAGAGCCAGAGCCGGAGCCGAAAGGGTAGAGGGCCCATCGCCCTTTGACACCCGGGCGCGGCGGCTGCGCGGTCGTCACTTCCGTTTGTCTTCCGGTAGCGGGACGGCCTTCAATTTGCCGCCTAGGACCGGCGAAAGTCGGGGATGATGGGCGCGTCGCGAGAGCTCTCGAAGGCCGCTTCCATTCCCCCCCCCCCGTGCTTGGCCGGGGCCTGGCTCACTAGCCGCGGAAGCTTACCTCACCAGCACGCCAGAAACGGGGGAGCCCCTGCGTCGGCAGCCTTCCCGTCAGCAGGTGGCGCCTCAGCTAGGGAGTTGGGGCGGGCTCGGCGCCCCGCCTCGGCTTGGCAAGCGGACGATAAGGCCGTAGGGGCGCCCTGGCTTTGGAGAGATACCGCCGCCCGCCCGCAATCGTGTCTCCAAGCGGGGGAGACGTGGCCTTCCGAACGGAGGGCAAGAAGGAGACCCCCCACCCACCCCCACCCTGCGGCCCAGAAAGAAGAGCTGGGAGAATATGAGCTATTTTCAAAAACATTGACTTAACCCAACTGACAGGAAAAAGATATATACATATTTTTAAAATACTACGTAACATTAAAAATAATAAAAGGTCTGGAAAAATTAATTGTAAACAGTTCCCAAATGTTGATCAAATTACTTAAAGGTCTAGCCCTTTTACTGGGAAAAAAAATCTATGACTATATTACCAATCAAGTGTATTACCTGTCGTTCCAGTAGTGTATCATTTCATCTGTGAAAAGTCATCCAACCTTGCTTTACACATTTTTAAGTACGGGAGCTGACAAACTACAGAGAGGAGTTCAATGTCACTAATAAATCTGATTTACCACTTGTTTTGGGAGTTTTGGAGCCCCATGGTTAATCAAGCAGTTTGTGTGGGTGGGGGGAGCACAGCAGTAAAATGAGAAAATAGCAAAAGGTATTCCCATGTTTCTGGCCAGAATTTCAGATTTTGCCTTTTTGTGCTGAAAGCAATAATGTTTGGCTAGGGCCTGTTTCTATGCCCTTGCTAACTGCATTTTAAAATATGCTCCTAAGTTAGAGGAAGCTACCAGCAGGGCAGTCCAAATTATCCCAACCAAAAGGTTTCTTGTAAGTTCAGAGTCACCCAGACTTATATTCCCACACACTTGACATCCTATAAAGTATAGGAGGCTGAATGCAGCATTTTGTCTGGAACCCAAATTGTCTGGCTTCATTTATTTATTCAACAGAATGGAAACTCCCAGCATATTTTTATTTGTTTGCTTGCTTTGTTCCTAAGTGTCTTCACATCCCAATTCACATGGTGCTGCAGGGAGTCTTCTGCTGTTACAAACACACACACATACACACAATACTCAAGCAGAATCCAAGGTTGGCATGACAAATTAACTCCCCATTAAATGTCTGGAGAAATGGGATAGCCTTTCTCAAGATGCAATCCTGCAAGGCATTGAGGTTGTATGTCAGGCAACTGACTTCCCTGGCCACAACGTTGCTCCAGTCAACCAATGCAATTTTGTAGGCTGGGTCTTTGTGTCAGCCATGCCTGGTGGGAGACAAATTTCAGTGTTTCCTATTGTCAGGGAGACAGCTGGAAGGTCCTGTGGAGGATTTTTGCACCACAATCCCCAAAAGATAATCTCCTATGGATCAGGGAGAAGGACATCCATGAGGCAGCAGCTTGCCCTTTCCCCCTTACTAATGGCCTTCTAAGAGAAGCTCTGGTTCTTCAGCATGTCTTGGTAGCACTTTCTTCATTATATTTCTGGAAGGAAGAAAAAGTGGAAATAATACGGTGAGAGTCAGTTTGGTGTAGTTCAGGTGCTGGCCTAGAAACCAGGAGACTGTGAGTCTATAGCTATTCTCAGAGCTGAAGAAGCTTCTTGGATGAGAAGCAAAATATCTTCAAAGAAAGAACAAAGGCCAGTTGCCTCCTGAAAAAGCATCTTTGGGACGGGAGACTCTGAGTTCTAGACCTGACTTAGGCATGAAAACCAGTTATTGATTTTAGGCCAGTTGCTTGCACTCAGCCCAACCTACTTCATAGGATTGTTGGGAAAATAGGAGGATGGAGGAATATTAGGTATGTTTGCCACTTCAAGTCATTTATAAAGAATAAAGATGGGATAAAAATCTAAAATACAAAATATGCTCTCAAGCAAGAAAAAAACATTAAATATTCAACTTAGGCTGTAGGACATCAACAGGTGGGCTGCTTTTTCCCCAGGTCCTATTCCGTAGATTTTGAGAGGACCCAGACTTTATTTTTTACCTGTCCAGGTAGGCTGAGAAAGAAAGGCCAAGGCCAAGTCACTGCCTAACCCATATTAGGGTGTAAACTCTAAAAAACTTACTTTCATGCACATAGGAAGCCAGGACTCAAGCCAAACTGTTATTTAGCATATTGGCAGGGGGTTGTAAAGTCAGCCAGTTGTGGTTAAGTAATAGCTGTTGAGAAGACAAAATTTAGCATATTGACTTTTACTTATTTACTTGTTTATTTACTTCCTCAATGGATTAGACCCCTTGGTACAGTACCTGACTGTGAAGCGGGACCACTTTGGGCAATCATAATATTGGTTGGTGAAGGGGAACAATATTCTGGATGCATGTATTCTGTTCACCTTGTTTCACTGTTCTTTTTTATTTTCTGAAGTGCCCAGTCAGGTGGAGTCACACATTCTTTAAATGTTTAGGGTCTCTGAGGGGAACCCAGTATGGTGGGCAGGGGCTTTTCTTCCATGCACAGCTGTGTCAGGATTGAGACTGAACTTCTGGGCTTCCCTCTAGGTCAGGAGCGCTTTTCCTTCGGCTTGGCTATTCCCATCCTAACTCGTGTCTTCAGGGTCCAGCGACACAGGCACACGCACACACGTCCATCTTTAGTCGTCCCACAAACGCCTGGGAATTTCATGATCGGGGCGCTCTCCGCCGGTCGGGCATTTTCCTGTGAATCGGTCGAGACGCTCGACGGAAAGGTCGAGGAGACCATCTGGGCGCGACAGCCCTCCAGAGGAGCCCCCCATCTGCCTTCCACCATTCCCTTGAGTGCGGCTCGAGAGCTGGTCTGGGAAGCCGCGGCGAAGCGTGTCCCGCCCCGCAGCGGGCAGCAGCGCTCCTGACCGCGACGGCGATAAGATAAGAGGGGCGGACCGAGGAGGGGGGCAGCTATAAAAGCGACGGTGGCGCCCCGGCTCCCAGTCTGCTTCTGCCTAGCGATCCACAGGCCTCCCTCGATCTCCTCCTGCTCTGCCGCAACCATGGTGCTGACCGCCGAGGACCGCAGGCTGCTTCAAGCCTCCATTGGCAAACTGGGCTGTCGCCTCGAGGACATTGGCGCCGATGCGCTGAACAGGTAGGCGAGCGAGCGGGGGCAGCCTTCCTTTCCCGCGACGGGCGCCGCTGCCCTCCATTTCCCTGCCACCAGGGTCCCCTAACGGACTCCTTCCTCTTCCTTTTCCCTGCCGCAGGTTGTTCATAGTCTTCCCGCAGAGCAAGACCTACTTCTCTCACTATAACTTGAGTCCCGGCTCGAAGGACATCATCCACCAGGGAGAGAAAGTGGGCAAGGCGCTGGACAGCGCCCTGAAACACCTCGATGACATCCGCGGCACCCTCTCCCAGCTTAGCGACCTGCATGCCTATAACCTCCGCGTGGACCCGGTCAACTTCAAGGCAAGTGGGGGCAAAGTGACTGCAGGGTGGGAAGAGCGGCGCCTGTCCCACCCGCCCAGCTAACTCCTGCTTTCCTCCTCCTCCCTCTCCTCATTCTTGCAGCTGCTGTCCAAATGCTTCCAGGTGTCTCTGGCCACTCACCTGCGTACTGAGTACAGTGCCTTAGTCTGCCTGGCCTGGGACAAGTTCCTCGAACAGGTGTCTGAAGTGCTGTCTGAAAAATACAGATGAGCTCCAGGGGCCACAACCAGGTGCCTTCCTTTGCCTTCCTCTGAGCTGCCTGCCTTTGGGGGTGCCTCACCTGGGCCACTGACCAATAAAGTTGTCTTTGAACCGCTGCCTGACTGTTGCACTAGCTTTGGGGGCTGGAGGGAAGAGCAGGACCGTATGGCTATTGGGAAGGAACTCTGAGAGTGTGCCTGCCTTTGAGCTAGTGTTGATCCCTGGTGGCTGTCTGGGTTAGTCCTTGCAGTTTTCTTGGCAAGGATTGGGAAGTGGCTTGCCTCTGCCTTCTTCAGATGCCTGAGAGGAGTGACTGGTCCATGGTTATCCATACCATGGACTTCATTACTCCTGGTTTCTAGCCTGGTGCCTTAACACTGTACCAAACTGCTTGCATATAATAAAGGAAAAGGGCACCTTCACCTATAATGGAGAACCCTGTCATTTATAGCTAAGAACCATTTGCCTCTGGGTGGAATCAGGCTTGTCTCCCCTCCCAGAAATCCTATCCCAGAGCAACCTAAGGAATAAGGAAACCAGGGTGTTTGCTGTGGCAGGAAGACCAGAAGTGGAGGAGAACTAGGAGCAGAGTTGGCAAACTTACTTCGCTATTTGGGCTAGATCACACAATAATTTCCCCCCCCCACACACACACCTAATTTCAGCAGCACACTTTTGGGCACTTGGGAAATACCAGATTGGGAGCAGAGAAGACCATGGAGAGGCAAGCGGCCATTGCCAGGAATATATTCGGAGTAAAGATTCCTTTCCCAACACCTCCCAATCCTGGGGCCCCTTCCACAGTCACAGCAAAAGTGGCTCTCCTCCACACTGCTGTTCCTGCCAGTGAGACACACACCACTAGGCAGGAAGACTTATTGTCCAGCTCAGGGCCCTCAGCCACAGATGAGCTAAGCCCAGCCCTTGGCTGAAGGAGGAACAGTGGACATGGTGGAGCCTGCCATCTGAGCAACAGGGAAGGCTGGGCCACCGGTTGCAAGTGGTGCACCAGGGTCACTGTGAACCAATGGCCAGTGTTTCCTTCTGGCAAGGTCGACCTGGAGGGAAAGGGGGTTCTCCTTCATTTCAATAAAAGGGCTATTTAGGATCCAATGCAGTGACTAGCGGTTGCCACTGTGTATCTGGTCCAAAATCAACCCCCAGGAGGACAGTGACCAGACCTGTGCAGATAATTTCCCTCACTTGTGTAACATTACCCTGAATCCTGGACCCCTGACCAGTTAGACCCACCAGCACACTTTGGCCCAGATCCCATCTTAGCAGAGGCCAAGTCACATGGTGGGTAGGGGGCTGGGGTACTTTCAGCACCTGTGGCAGCATCCTGCCTAGGCTCAGCACCTCCAAGCTGCACAGGGACCCCTAAATAGCCTAGAGTCCTCTGGGGCTGCAGAGGTTTATATCTGCAATAGATAAACAACTTTCCATTGAAGTTGACCAAAGGGCTTCTTCCCCCACCTATTACCACCAACCATGGGAGCACAGGCCCCCAGTCTACAGTCACCACCCCACATGCCCTAAGCTGGCCTTCTTCCTCTAAAATCCAACCTTCATGGAACGATTCCAGAGATGGCTTTATTTGCCTGGCAACTCTCTTGGGGCTGTGGAGGGAGGGGGAGCTCCTTCTCTCAGTGGGAAAGCAAGGAAACCCACTCAAGCAACCCCAGGCAATGGAAGCCCATCTTGATGGCAAGTTATGTGTCACAAAAGCTAAGCGCACTGGGCTAAGAAAACCATGCCTCAGGTAACCATGGTACAAACCCTGCTGGGATTAGTCCCACTCCTGTGCATGCAAGCACATGTACGTGCACGCACACACACACACACACACACACACACAATACATGTGTATCTTTTCCTGGACTGAGGTGTCCTGGAGAATTTGGAAGAAAAGAGTACAACATGGAGAAAGAACAAGCACTTTTTTCAAGGATTCATTTCATTTCATTCTATTTATATTTTAATTCATGTATTTTTTCACTTTGTTTCCTCCCATATGAGCACAATCAGGTGAGGATCCACTCCCCAACTGCTTAACGTCAGTCAGGGCTTGTTCAAATCTTCTGTCCTTGTGCATAAGCAGCTTCAATTTCCTCTCGAAGAATCAGGAAGAACTTCTCCCAGGCTAACTGGGCATCATCAGTAAACTGTTCTTTGAGGAGATCTTGGAAGACAGAGAGAATGGCCTGAAATAGGAACTAGGTAAAGGCAGAACTATGAGAGGACAGCCTGAGACAAGTGCTAGGGGACTCCCACCCACGTTCAAGATCACTCACCCTGGCAGCCTCCAAAAGGGAGCTACCAAGCAAACAAGGGCACCCCCACCAGTCGCAGAAGCTCTCGTGGTCCACTGGGGTCCAGATCATGGACACCGCAGGCAGGCAGGCAATTATTGGCCAAAAATCTCCCCTCTGTGGAAGGGGTGGCCACCATGCAGTTACCTCAGCTGCCCCTTGGCAGACCATGGGTTTCCCTTCTTGTGTACCTGGAACATGCCTAGTGGGACCTGGTGTATGTTCTTGTGGCTTTCCACCAGCCGCCCAATGAGCTTGCAGGCTTGCTTCCAGTGATTCATGCTTTCAATCAGCTGGTTCAGGGTCACCATGATCCTCCGGCCATGGAAGCCCACCTCCGGGATCATCATCAGGTCCCCTTCAGTCGGAATGTTCTTGAAATACTGCTTACTCTCTGGGTATTCTGTGAAGAACCTGAGCAGAAGGAAAAGAGGCAGGCAAATTTTGCTCAGCTGTTCTCTCTCCCTATGCTGTGCTTCTGGACTGAGCAGTTCTGCATTATATAGCAATAGCACTTACACTTACTGCTTCATAGTGCTTTACTAGCACTACTAGCGGTTTACAGAGTCAGCACATTGGCCCCAACAATCTGGGTCTGCATTTTACCAACCTCCGAAGGATGGAAGACTGAGTCAACCTTGAGCCAGTGAGAATCTATGTTTTTATTTCCCCAGGCTGACCAAGCAAGATTTCTTACCCCTGTCAACCAAAAGAATCCAGACGCCGGCATCTGAAAGAGTGGAGGCCAGTGGCTCACTGGCCTAATGCAGGTCTTGGTCAGGGCTAAACTAGAGTGCTCAAAAGGCTGAGAAGAGGCAATGACCAGACGGTTACATGGCTGCAGACTCCCCTGCTGGTGCTCTGGTTCAGGCCTGATTGAAGACCTTAACCCCAGGACATAAAAGAGTATCAACCCACCCTCCTGCCCGCCCACCCCGTTTATTTATTTATTTGGTTTGTTAATTGCTTACAAGATAATAGGTATAAGTAAAAACATAGTTATGAATACATGGATACATATAAGAAAAATAAAAAATAAAAGAATCAACAATAAACATCTGATTTGTGCAGTAAGTCACTGGGGGAGGCTGTGTTTATGGTCTCCAATGGAGCTCAGTGGCACAGTGATTAGAGTGCAGTACTGCAAACTGCTTCTGCTGACAGCCAGCTGCCTGTAATTTGGCAGATCGAATCCCACCAGGCTCAAGGTTGACTCAGTCTTCCAATGATGACCCAGATTGTTGGGGACAATATGCTGACTCTGTAAACCACTTAGACAGGGCTATAAAGTGGTATATAAGTCCAGCTGTCTTTTTGGTAGCAGGAGAAATCATGTCATTACTTCACCAGCAGTTGGAAGACAATGCCATGAATCTGGGAAGAGGCCCAGTCCCACTATTGGGCTGCCCAGAAGGCTGGGTCTCTTGGTAGACTTCCCCTAAGCCCCAAACAGAGCTTCCAAGTGGGTGTCCCCCACAAAAGGGGACCCAGTTTTCTACCACCAGTACCTGATGATAACAATCCTGCCATTTTCTTCAGCATTGTCAAACACCTTTGCCCAAATATCTCGGATAAGTTGCTGGTCCACTTCTGTCAGACCATTCAGTGGATCTGAAGTGGGTGGTCTGGGAGGAAAAGAAGATAAGCTTAGGGGCACATTTCCCAAAACACATTCCGACCCTGGTCCCGCTGCTGGTCACTTCAGGGATTCCCCCCTCCACCCGCCAGGCAGCTGGCAGAAGCACCAGAGACCAATTTGGGGCAGCGGGCCACTCACCCCACCTTCAGCTTCCCGCTGGGACCCCCAAAGATGGCCATGGCTGGCACAAGGGAGCGCCCGTTAGGATCGGGAGTGGGCCGGGCGGGCGGGGTACGAGTTCGCGGAATCTTCCGGCGGCCGCATTCCTGGGCAGTTCGGGGGGAGGGGGCCGCTGGCCCGGAGAAATTCAGCGCCGCCCAGAATCACGCGGAGCTGCGGGCCACGCGAGGCCGAAGACAAAGGCCGGCAATGAATTTGGCCGGCGCAGAGGCGGCCTCTCCCCCCGCCAGCTGGCCGCCGGCCGAAGAAGCCGCGCTCTCCGGCCCCGCGCTCCGGCCACCGCTCCCCCCGGGCGCCTGAGGGTGGTGCCCGCCCCTGCCTCCTTCCCGGTCAAGCGCCGCCCGCAGCGCGTGCCCAACTGCCTTCCCTCCTGCCCCGCGGGTTCTCCCTGGCGCCACCGCCGGGCGGCCAGTCCGGGTCCGGAGCCTTGGTGCAGATGGCTGGCAATTCGCTCGGGCGTTGCCGGCTGCTCTTCCTGCTCCTCGCCGCTGCTACCCCCTCCCCGCCGGAGAAGAAGGAGGTTCAGCTGGCCGAAGGCGCCGAGGGTGAGCCGCGCATCCCCCGCTGCCAGGCGCCGGCGGCGGATCGGGGAAAGCCGCGCCCGCTATCTTGACTCAGCCGGGCGCGCCGGGCGGCTTTTCTGAGTCGCCCCAGCCGCCTCTCCTCTGGCAAGCGCGCCGAGGGCGACGGGACAGCGGCTGCTCTTCTGCTGGGGGCCGAGGAGGGCGGGCTGTCTCGAAGGAGCCTGTGGTGCTTTCCCTGGCAGGAAGCCCAGCAGGCCCCTTGGAGAAGGGCCGGAGAGCAGGTGACTCCAAAGGGCCTCCTCCTGGCAGGGCTTTGTGGCATCTGGTCTGGGGCTTCTTCCTGGGCACCCAGTGCCCATGCACTCAGGGGCAGGGCTTGGCCTTCCTGGCTTCCATTCCTGGGACAAGGCCGCTGGGCTTCAGGGTAGGCTGCAGGCAGGCAGCTCGCTTCCTCCCTTCTCTCCTTCCTTCCTGATACCCGTGTCTAGATTTCCTTGCCTGGCACAGCTCTTCCAGGCAACGTGAAGGACAGTAGGGGCAATTTCATGCCTTTATCCAAAAGTCCCAGTGTCTGGCTGTGCCCAGCCCTCACCATGTCCAGCCCTCAGGCAGCGGGAAGACCAAGTCCTCTTTCCCGGAAATGGGCTTGCTGCTCAAAGTCCAAAGGCGGTGATGCCTGCAGGCTGGGGTGTGCCTGCCTGGCCTGGCCTGGCTCGCTGTGCTTTGTGACTCCCTCCCAGGACTTTTGGAGGTCTCGTAATGGACACGTAGACACTTCCTGCACACAGGCTGCCCGTGTGAGTGATGGTTACTCCAAGGTCATTCCTGGGCCCGCCAGCCAGTTTCACTGCCCCAGAGCAGCTACTGAGACTCAATGGAGACAATGGCATTTGTGGCCAGTCAAGCTGCAGGACATCCATTATGTGCTTGACCAGTAGCCCAGCCCCTCCCCACCAGGACCTGTCTGCAGCTATGGCTGGGCACCTGAGGGTGGTTCTTCTTTTCTTCCCAGATCCGGCATTTCTTTCTGAGTATTTTTCCCAGAGCTCACAGACGCTGTCCTTCTACAGTTGGTATGGAAGTGCCAAAATTTTCCGTTTCCATATTCCAGAGGACACAGTGCTGTTGCGATGGCTCCTGCAGGCTTCCAGAGACAAAGGCCCTGAATGTGGCAAGACTCAGGTCACCTTGTGAGTTCCCCCTGCTGCTGCTGCTGCTGCTGTGGCAGGGAGTACCAGCTCCAGAGGGCTCAGGGTCTCTGTCCTAAGGGCCTGAGAGAGTGATTGATCCCTTCTCTTGACCTCTGTCCTCCAGCCACATCCGCTATGGTGCCCCTCCAGTCATCAATCCCCTGGGCACACAGTTTCCTATGAACACAAGCGTCCCTCCTTCCTTCAGCCAGACTCTGACCTTGGATGCTGCCCTGCAGAATAGCACTTTTGTTAACCTCACTAACCCGGCTGCTGGGGACTGGTTTCTAGCTGCCCACCTGCCTGCAGCATCAAGCAAGATTGAGATGAAGGTGAGAACTGGGCTGGCAGGAGTGAGGGAAACAGCCTGTGGAAGTCCTGAGGCCAAATTTGCCATGATCCAAGATGTGCCCACCGTGTTAGACAGGAACTGGTAGAGCTGGAATCGAGCAGGGCAGTTTCCCTGATTGGCCTTTCTGCCTGCAGGGCTTCTCCAGGTCTTGCAGCTACACCTTCCAGCCTGACCTGTTTGTGCTGCGCCAGGTGGACGTTGTAGTCCTTGAGCCTGATGTTCCTGTGCAACAGGTTCTGTCCAAGGGGGCTAGTAGGCCACTTCATGCCAAGTGAGTAGCATGGGGTGGGGGGTAGGGTGCATCGGCTGGCCCCTTTAAGGCCAAGAAGCATCTGCTGATTTCCTCTGTCTGCATCGTAAATGTGTTGCAGGATCTTTGTCCCCGAATACACTGCTGGGATGCACTTTGAGCTGGGGAAATGCATGGAGAATGGCTCTGCTGCGGCTTGTGCCCTCCGGGTCACCTTGGGTTCGGCTGTACTCTCTTGGTCTTCCCAGAAGGTGCTTCACTGCCTGGAGGCCTGCAGCATCTTCTTGGCTTCCCCACCATGGGGAAGGTGGCTTTGGATCACAGTGGAGAGCCTTGGTGGTGCCAGCGCCAGTGTGTCCTTTCAGATGGTGGTGTTCTTCATAGGTGTGTGCCCCCGATCAGAACGCTTGGCATCGGGAATGATTTCTGGCCACTGTGGGTATCTGAGCAAAGGCTCTCTCCATTCCTGTTCAGACCTCTGCTGCTTCTTTTTTTCTCATCTGACCAAGAGAGTGGTGGTCCCTGCTTTGAGGAAGGGGGGGTCCTGTTTCCATCCAGAAGGGTCTTTTGCCCTCCCCATTCCTCCTACCCATTTGTGTTGTGGTAGGTAGGTGCTGGCTTCTCTCCTTGCAGCATGCAAGCCAGGAGACGCGGCCTCCTTCCTTGGCTTCTACCAGAGTTTGAAGCAGAACCAGGGGATGGTGATGCCGGGAAGCCACCTCAACAGCACACTGCTTACCATGGGCAGCAGCCACAATGTCTCTGGCCCAGGAAACACCTGCCTACATGGCCAGCCGATTGTCCGCGAGGAGCTGGACGTGGTGTCTGTGCGCTTCCGCATTCTTGGAGATTCCACTGTAACCGTTCAGAGCGATATTCCCACTCTGCTGCTCCTTAACCTAAACTCAGGCATGGATAGTGGAGGGAACCTGGTGCTGAACCTGATGCTGAACCAGGTGAGAATGAACCCCTGCTGCGTGGAGGGCCAAAGGTCGATAGGTTTTGCCTGCTGCCAGAATTCAGAACTGGGATCAATTTTGTCATGGCAGACTTCCGTGGGCCTTGGAAATGCCACTGTGTTGGCCTGCTTGAGCCCTATGTCTCCTGCACTTTCCCTGAATGGCTCCTGGGGCTGCTGGACAGGTAAGTGGCTGGCAGAGCTGCTTGCCAACAGTCCAGACAACTGTATTTCCCCTTTCCTGGAGCACTTGTGGGTTGACTCCAAAGAAGCCAATGGTTTTCAAATGACCAAACAGCAGTTGATTTGCTTGCTTCTTCCCCTCCCAACAGCCTTTGCTCAGGGCTACCTCCTGAACGTGAGCATGTCCTCCAGGGAAGCTGCAGTCATTGTCCCTTACCCACAATCCGACAGCTGGTATCTGTCCCTGAAGCTGCTCTGCCCAAAGCAATCAGAGTGAGTATTGGATCTCCAGGTCGGGCCTGTCTCTCTGTAGCATAGGGAGAAAACTGCTGCTGGAGTGGCTTTGTGCTTGCACCCCCTCCCCCCATTTTCCCTTTGTGGAGGTGGCCATTCCCGATAGGACTGAATCTGCTGCACAGTGGAATCTCCCTGGGCCCCTCTTCTTTCTCTCTCCCTCTTGTGCAGAGGCTGTGATCAAGCTCAAGGCCAGGTAGCCATGCTTGCCTACCTCACCCCCTGCTTTGACGATTGTGGGACCTACGGACAGTGCAGCCTCATGAGGCGCCATGGCTATCTCTACACTGGCTGCATCTGCAAGGCTGGTAAGAGAGGTCCTAGCCAGCACTCTCTTGCTCCTGTCCCCCAGGCTTCTCTTGGGGGATTTAGCTCCCAGGCTTCCCAGCCGGGCAGCACTACCCCAAGTCCCCTCCTGCAAGAAAGGAGAGCAAGCCCCACTAGGACCCACCTTCTGCATGGAGCTGCCCACCTGCATGGATATCCCTGGGAATGGCTGTACTACTCCAAAAGCGCTTTGTAAATGAAGCCAAGTGTATTGGCAGGCCAATGGCCGCATCACTTTAGAAGCACACAGGTGGACCCAAAAAAACAAGGACAGAGGTATAGTTGAGTTGGAGAACGTGCCTTTGGCAGTGCGTTGCTTTTTGTAGCTAATGTCTTCCCTCTCTTTCCCTCTTGCAGGTTGGGCTGGCTGGGGCTGCACAGATGGAACCAAAGCCCAGTCTGTAGGCACCCAGATCCTGGCCACCCTCTTGCTCACCCTCAGCAACCTGTTCTTCCTGCCAGCAATCGCTGTGGCCCTTTACCACTATCACCTAGTTGAGGCCTCCGTCTATACCTTCACCATGTTCTTTTCCACAGTAAGTTTTTCATTTTTCTTTAGTCTAATGCATGCTGTAGAGCAGTTCAGTTCTTTGCAATGGAAAGTGGGCAAGTTGGCTTTCATTTCTTGCCCTGCCTGGGTGAATTAGGGTTTCTGGAGTTCTCTTGGTCCCACAGGACTTCCAAACCAGGAGGGATATAGGAGCCTTTCTGGGCCAAGCTCTTGAAGATGCAGACCTGCTGCAACAGCCTCCCTTCCTAGCACCACTTCCACTTCTTCCTTACTGTCATTACAGTTCTACCACGCTTGTGACCAGTCTGGCATTGCTGTAATGTGCATTATGGACTACGACACACTGCAGTTCTGTGACTTTCTGGGCTCTGTTGTCTCCATCTGGGTGACCATTCTGTGCATGGCACAGGTCAAGAAGATCCTGAAATATGTATGTATGGGGAGCCATAGGCAATCCCTAATGAAAAGTTGGGAAGAAATGGGGGAGGAAGCCAAA